TCCAAGTAAACAAATCCTAATAGACTCAGCTCCTCTCCCACACAGTGTTTAATCTAACACAAAATGTTATAGTTGTTACAACAAAATAAAAAATGTTACACAGTGTGTAACTACACACAAAGTTTAATCTATAAATAATTTCTGATGTTATTCAGCTTTAGCGCACAGCAAATAACTGTAAATCCCTCCATAACTATGTTATAATTGCAAGAACTATCCCTAGCAATATAACACATTCCCTTTATGCATTTATACATATATGCACGTGGAAAGCTATCACCAAATATAATAAAATTACTGCTAGATAAGAAAATACAACTTGGTAATTACACTGCTCTTTGGCTCAATCCCCAGATCACAATAAAAACTAGTGCAAAAGTTCACTGCATTACTACCTTGCCTCTTAACATCTGATCACATTTTCACATTACCCATACCTTCATGACAACATGCTTATGTTAGATGACTATTTGTCTCCTCCATGTGCATATGCAACTCATTGGTTTAAAGATACAAAATATCAAGACATGGTATTTGGGTTCTTGGTGGTTTTGTTGGTTCTTCTGTTTGGGGTTTTTCTTACAAATTATATGCCAACAGTTCTCAAGCACAATTTTTGAAGGACATTTTCATCAATGCCCTTTTATCTTATCCTGGTGTCCCCTTGTATCACAGTACTTATTAAATCTTTGTACATAAAGGTTAAAGTGTACTTCCATTTTATAATACAGTTATCAGTTTATTTCTGTAGGGAACACCTCAGAACAGCACAGCACACCAGGCAATGCCTTAGCAGCAAACAGATGGAGAGGGAATCACTGAGAGAACATCACTCTGCCTTACACCAGAAGAGATGCTGGTGCCTTTCTTGCTGTTTATTTGGCATTCACAATCCAAAATCTCTGCCCCACCACTGAGCCAAATCATTCCTCCAGGAGCTATTGTGAGGGAGAGACAGCTGCAGAGAATTTTCTTTGATATTCTGAGCAAGAAGGTGAAATTGTAGGCCGCTCGTTTACAAACAGACTAAAATGCTTTCATCTGTGATGGCAAGACCATCACTCAGCTCAGCACCTGAGGGATCTTAGAGGTCTTTTTCAACTTTAATGAGCTTATGAATCCACCTTTATTTCCCAGCTTCCCAAAATGTGGCCTGAATATCCCACATAATTGCTACTGGATTCAAATGGCATGCAGGGTACTTAATCCTTCCTTTGCTACTCACTGAACTGCAGACAGTGAGTTTAATCTCATATGCAGGGTGCTCACCTAAAATAAAAATGCTGTCCAAGAGCAATTTTTTTTTAATTGACATAATCTTTGGAGAAAACTCCATATTTAACAGCTGCAGTGGAATGGGCTTGACATTTTCATTTTTGCATTAAAAGCACCACAGCTATACAAGCTATATGACACAAGTTGTTGGGATGAGTTCCCAAAATCAGGTTTTCCTACCACAAACAGGTTTTCTGTTACAAAGGTGTTTAACTTCCAGTAACCAACCTGTATTTACACTGTGCCCCTGCAGCGACGCATGGCAGCCAATAAAGAAATTCCACTCAGAAACCAGACATTGGTTGGGCTGAGAATGTATTTTCTTCCCTGCCTTTTATAATATGAACTATGTCTAAATTTCTTGGAGCTTTTATTTCATTACCTAGGAATAAGCTATGGAACAGTTTCCTCTTAACAAACCCTTTGGTTTAGGCCTATGGGAATATGATATCCCACTCAATGTTTCCACAAATAGATCAGAAATTACTACATTCACCCTGACAGTAATTAGAGACAGATGCAGTTTTGAACGGAGGCCTGTATTTTATGTTATGGTATGAATTCTGATCAAGTAAGTTCAGTATCATTTTATTAAATGACAGCAGGATTAGGCCCTGAATGCTGAGGTACTGCAAGGTGCCAACACACTGGCACAAGCACTGTTGTGGCACAAGCACTGTTGGCTTTCACGGATGTTTTTCCACCTTTCTGGGAGGGAAACAAACAAGATGATAACCAAACTAAGCAAGCATTTGAATTCAGATCACTTAGTTCTGAGCACAAAGCAGGCTCCTGGGAGTTCTGGAAGAGAAGCCATGTGTATAAAGGCAGCATACTTCAAATCATGGCATGGAGCCAACAGCAAGCTTCCAGAAACCTGGCAGGCTTGGGATATATCCCACAACACAGCTACTGCAGCATTTACATGCTGGGGGAAAAAAAAAGCTACTAAAAGTGAACGTAGACACAAATAATCCTAGCAACACATTGCAGTCTTCTTCCTCTGAAAGTGACATTCCGATTTTGCAAGTTCAGTTTTCTTAGACTTTCATATTTGGGGTAAATGACACGCAGCTTCCAACAGAAAGCAAAATCCCACACACAAAAATGGAATTTTTTACCTCACACTGATGTAATTCAGCAGGAAGCTTCCTTCAAGGTAAAAGTTTTGGCACTTAGGCTCTAAACAGGCAAGTAAAACTTTCTCTTGCTGGTAGACAGTTTTGCACCCCATAACCTGTTCCCCAGCATTCAAGATTAATGAAAAGCAGTAGTAAACCAGAATTAAATACACACATACTATCCAAATATGAACACACCTTTAAAGAAAATAAGTAGCAGATGTTTTCTCTCCTGCCTTGTTCCTACTGACTTACACAGGCCCTGCCTGTACACATCAGACATCCAGAGCCTTAAGAGGCTTTTCCTAAAAGGCACAAAGCATATGTTTAGATCTATAAGGAGTCCTGCTGGCAGCATATGTACACCATTAACTCTTCTAAACAATAACTGAAGGAATTTTCTGGGTTTTTTTTAACCTTGAGAGACTTTTGGGCAACAAATTAACGTAACTTTTAATAAGCCTACTCACTTCACTCCATATTCAATTTGGTTCTGCTTAAGAAAAGTGGTTGATTAACAAAATTGAACTGAATTAGAATATGATTTTGTACGGAGAGTTATGTGCAACTATATGGCAAATCCTTCTTAACCATCCTTGAACACTGAAACCCCTCAAATCTCCTTATATTCACTATTTATGACTATAAAAACCCCACAAGGCTCATGGGAAAACTGAATAACGTGGAATGAAGTTTACAAATCTGACTTCATAGAATCATTCCCTAAATAGGAATATTTTGTGTGTTCTGTAAATATTTTTTAGTCTCAAAGTACTTCAGGAGAATAACCCATGGAGAGAGCAGCTCAGTCCCAGCACTTCTCATGGCTCCCAGGCAGTGGGATGGGCGATGACTCAGGTCTCTCACATCCCCTCTGGAACAGGGTTGCTGGCCAGGAGGCTGTAATATCCATCTGCTCGGGTTCCTGAGGAGCTGCCAGCTCCATCAGACCTTCCAGAGAGGGCAAACCTTCGTCTGACACTTGCTGCAGACGTGTGCCTCCCTGCAGTGGACACCCCTCCTCGCTGTCACTACAAAGAGCTTCTTTTGAATAACTTCACAGTCAGTTTTGCCATCATACCTCTCTGAAAAAAGACTGCCAAATATTTTGAAAATCATGATTTGCTGCTAGTGCTCAAGGCGTTTAAAATGGCACTATATATGTTTTTCTAAAAGAGACAGTGCAGTCAAGCTGTGAAGGAGAACAGATAATCCGAGAAGCCAACACAGGGACTTAGTGGTTCTTTCCTGGTTTAAGACTTTCATTTCTAGGACTGATGGCAAAGCATTATTCCCAAAAAAGTAATTTTTCTAGGTCAGCATTTTCCTTTTTAAAAAAAAAAGCTATACAGTCTCATTCTGAAAATATTAACAGGCTCTCTTACTTCTGCCTGTTGATTCACGTTGCCAGGTGAGGTGCTGATAAACACACACTTGCATCATGTTATTTCACAAAATATTAATGTGACCACAATTATTATAAGTAATGACATGGAGTGGAAACTGTAACATGGCTACAGCAAAAAAGCAAGGCCCCGACACAAATCCACTGGCTGCACATGCCCTGCCCCAGGGTCTGTCCGAAGCTGAGGGGTGCCAGCGCATCTGGGATGGGGCGAGGGGAAGAGGAGAAGAGGGCTGCTCACACCTTCCCAAGTGAGGTGGGGTCTGCTCACCCCTCCCAAGTGAGGTGACCCGCTCTGCTCAGCCTTCCCAGGTGAGGTGGGGTCCGCTCGGAGCCCCCTCGCAAGGGGCAGCCTCAGCTCCCCGGAGCCAGCGCCCATCCCAGCCGGTGCTCCGGGGAAGGTTCTGCTGTCCGGCAGAGAGATCTTTGTATCTGCTGTGTCTTTTAAGATAAAAACCAAGCGGATTCTCTAGTTTTTTTGTTCTTGGCAGAGTGCTGATACAAGAACCTCCATTTTCAAGACTGATTTGAGAATTATAAAGATCGAATCACAGCTGGATCGTGCTCATGGAGAAGCAGTTTTGTTCTTCTCAAGTGGAAGCCGAAGGATTAAAAGCGGGAGAGGTGAGGATTCACCCGGGACCAGCCCTTCTCACAGACGCCGGCCTACAGTCCCCGGGCAGGAAGCAGAGCCCCCCAGACCCCCACACCACGCTCGCCTCCGCTCCGCGTCCCCCGGGGAGCAAGGGCGGAACAGAACCACGATTTCCCCCCCCCCCCCCGTCCTCTCCTACCGTCCGCTGACAGAGCCATCTCGATGAGGGTCTCATTGGCTTTCTTCCCCAAGCGGTTCATGGTGGCCGCCTTCCCGCTGCTGCTACCAGGGAGCGGCCGCTGAGCCGAGCGGTGACTCAGGGCGGCGGGGCCGCCTCATGCATGCGCACTGCCCGCGGGGCGGAGCGGGTCCGCGCCGGGCCGGGCCGGGGGAGCCGCCACCGAGAGGGGCCGGGCGGGGGGAGTCGCCACCGGGAGGGGCCGGCCCGGAGGAGCCGCCGGAGCCGCCACCGAGAGGGGCCGGGCGGGGGGAGTCGCCACCGGGAGGGGCCGGGCCGGAGGAGCCGCCACAGCCGCCACCCAGCGGGACCGTGCCCGGCTTACCGGGCCGGGGAAGCCGCTGAGCGGGGCCGGGCGGGGCCGGGCCGGGCCGGGGGAGCTACCGCAGCCGCCACCCAGCGGAGCTGTGCCCCACGGAATTGCGGTGCGAGGGCTCTCCTGGCCTGTACAGGACAACCCCAACAATTCGGCAGCGTGCCTGAGAGCAGGGTCCATGGTATGTGTGATCTGGGTTCGGCTGTGTCCCCTCCCACGCTGCTTGTGCACCACAGGAGCAGAACGCACCTGGTGGCAGCGCAAGAGTTTCTTGCTCAGCGGTATCTAAAACAGCCCTCTGTTAGCAACGCTGTTCTTGTCACAAAGCCAAAACTTAGACCTAGGTAAAAAATGCGAATTTAATGATCGGCTTTTCACAAATATTGAAATTAATGTTATACGTGTTGTGTTAAAAAGTTATGCTGTATTAATTTTCTTAGGTAGTGTGTTAAATATAGTTTTAGGTTTAACATAATGTTAAAATAGAAACTGTGCTATGTAAGATAGTTTTTTAAAAGAGAGGACTCGCACCGAGATAGCAGCCACAGGACACCTGAATCTTTCAGAGAAAAAGAATTTATTGCCCCATTATCAGAAGAAACGAACTTCTTCCTACCTTGCTCAGATCTGAAGACGACGTCAGGATTCAGAGGAAGAAGTTGACACCGACCAGACAGAATCCTGTGTTTGAATGGAATTTATGCATCATGTATGAGGGGTATGAATATGCAACAGGCTGTTGCTTTTAAGAGTTAATCCTCTGTTGACGTGGGTCCTTTTTCAGGTTTATGCTGCCCAGAAAGAGGCACCCAGACTGTCCATAACTCTTTGCTCTTATTGTCTCGTATTGTCCTAATCCCAATTGTTCAAATTTTATTACTCTAATTATATTGCTATTTGTATAACCATTTTATTACTATTAAACTTTTAAAATTTTAAAAACAAGTGATTGGTGTTTTTCACGCTCATAAAAGCTGCTATGAAGAAATTTAACTCTTATCTCGTGAGTCTCCATTCACAGCTGCTGTCCCTGCTCCTGGAGCTGCTACCACTGCCATGTCTAACAGCCCCAGCTTCTTATTCCTTCCTTCAATCATCTGAAACAGTTTCCAACAGTCTTGGTTCAGTATATGTATTTAATACATTTTTTTGTTCATTAATATAAGCTCAGGCCTTCTTTCAAATGAACTTTTTGTTTATTCATCTTCTACTACCTGAGTAACCATTTTGCACACCAAACTGATGGAGTTTTGTTACTTAGGCAACTGTCACACAACAGCACTTTCATGACCAATAAGAATTAACGGAATTCTTAATAGAAAGTTATTTAAGTCAGTCAGTTGAGTTGCTGGGCTTGTTTTCAGATCTATATACAGTACTAAGCCTTTATTTGTGCAACATAACTGCTTCAAGGATTATATTTTTAGTCAGGAGCAGGACCTAAAAATGTGTCTGGTTGCTCTCCAAAGCCTAAGATGTTTAGTCAGGATTTTAATGTCCGAGTGCAGGATGGTGGGAACAAAGAGGATGGGCTTGGTGCACCAAAGGGTGCCCTGAAACAGCCTGTGACTGCATACAGTGCACCAGATCACAAGGTTCTGTTTCAGAGCTGCACTTCTAGGCCTTTAATTTCCTCCTAGCACTACATATCTTGGATAAATGTGTTTATGCCCACAGAAGATGCAATTAGAGTTGCTATTCAACAAGAGCCAGAAACAGCAAGAAGTGCCATGGTCATTGCTCAGTTTTTCTCCTAATTGCACACTGGCTGTTTCCAGCTCCACCCAACAGCAAACCCAACCATACCTAAAGCTGTGTGAGTGCCTCAGCCAGAATGCCAAAGAAGATTTCAACGACCCTTGTAATTGCACAGGCTGATAGTGTGTTGAGCACTGACTTTGTGCAAATTACACAGTGGCCTGTGGTAGGGATGGGACAGAAGGATGCTCCTCCAGAGTGAGGAATCTGTGGAGGCACACAGGAGGTTTGTGCAATACTCAGCATGGAATTTCCTTGCATATTCAGAGTTGAACCAGCCACTGTCTGACTCGGTGGGTTCACAGTTTGCCCAAGTGATCTAGGACCACACTTCCTTCCAAAGGCACACACCTTTTCTCCCTCCCACCTTCCTGGTTCAATCTGAATAAGGAATGCTGATAAGGTGATGCGCGACTTATGTCAACCTATTAAACCAAATAATCATGGTTTGGGGTTTTTGGGGGGCTTTCAGTTCCACAAATCACTGCAAGCAACAGGTAAGGCCAAAATAAAGGAAGAGATGGCAAATCACACAATTTTATTCCTAAAATATTAATACAGTAGCCAAGTACACCATAATATCTCTGCTTTGGGAGTTCAAACACTATTTCTAATACAGTGCATACATAAACCAAAAAATAATAAAATACCTAGAAAGCTGTGGGTAAAGGTAGCAAGCCTCACCAAAATTGCTGACAGTGAATATACTTAGTATATTCAGTGGCAAAGGGTAATCCTTTGTGCTAATGGAGAACAGGTAGTTTGTATCTCTTATAAGTCTTCCATTCCATTGATTTGCCTTTTCCAAACCATGCGACTGACTTTAAGGCCTTCACATAAAAAAAAAAAAAAATTAAACACAAAATTGGTGGGATTGGAGGACAAGATTTCAAAGATTTCAAGATATCTCAGTGTCTATTGTTGTCTCAGGTAGATAGCCCAAGGCCGTTCAAAAGAAATCTTAACATACAACCTGAGATGCCAACTTTAAAAATTCTACTTAGAGGATTATCTGAAACTTTTGGCACTGAAGCATCTGTGAAAATATAACCTGAGTTTTTTTGTGAGAGGTAGCAGAATCAATGCCCACATTCTCCACGAAGAAACTCTCATGGTTTGATGCTGGCCAAATGCCAGGCACCCACCAAGGTTGCTCACTTGCCCTCTGCTGCCATAGCTAGGCAGAGGAGAGAAAAAAAATTTAATGAAGGGTTCATGAGTTGAGGTAAGGACCAGGAGAAAATACTCCAAGGGCAAAACAGCCTCAACTTAGAGGAACAAAGTCCATTTATTATTAACAAAACAGAGAAGGATAATGAGAAGCAAAATAAGCCCGTCAAACACCTTTTCTTCCCTCCCAACCCCTCCCTCCTTCCCACCGACAGCACAGGCAGACGGGGTTTTGGTTGGTTCATCACCAAGATTTTCTTCCATTTCTCAGGGAGAGGAGTCCTTTCCCTGTGAGGCATCTGAATTCGTGAATGGGGAAGCACAGCAAGGCTTGCTGATGGGTATCTGAATTCGTGTATGGAGAAGCACAGCAAGGCTTGCTGATGGGCATGTGAATTTGTGTATCGAGAGACAGCTGATTCTTTGCTCCTGCTACCGCACCGCCCTAAATCCCTCAGGAAACGGAAAGGGAGTGTCACAAAGAACTGTGGTGGGACGCGGCAGAGTGCCAACGCTTCTCAAGGGAAGCAAAAACTTTACTAAGTGTGCAAAAAGTTCATCATTAGTCACTACATTTTTTTTCTAAGCCATCACTTTCCAGTCAGCTGAAATCGCAGAACGCAGCGCAGACACCCATAAACACTTACTGTGTCTAAACAAACAGATGCCTTTACAGAAACTGTTTTTCTTGGCCAGAGTTGTACGCCCGGAACAATAGCAGAAGTAAAACCGAGGGCTCGGTTTGCGGTGTCCCCAGGGGAAGGAAAGCGCCTGGGCGTGGCACCAGGGCAGCCCGGCCGTGCTGGCCGAGGGCAGCGCTCGCTCTGGGGGGGCTGCCGAGGATCGGGAGAGCTGAACGCAGCCGGGACCCCCTTTGGGAACAGGCAGATGTTTTGGTTCTGGAATCTCGCAGTTACACTCCCTTAACTGGATTGCCCGGTTTACAGCTGCCATCAGAGCCTTCTTAAAGCGGTGGTTCAAAGAAACCATCACACCTTCCATGCCCCAAAACTCCCATCAGCCCGAACCGCCCACACCGCTCAAAAACCCCCAACAATAAAAACCGCCAAAACCAAACAACCCTCCGAAAAAACCCCACAACTCTCCCAAAAAAACAAACCCAGAAAAACCCCCAAAACATAACAAAACAAACAAAAAACACCCAAAACCCCCAAACTCCCAAATAAACCCCAAACTCCCAAACAAGTGTGTGTTCACAGGGATCCGAGGATAAGGGAAGAGACGAGGATCTGACTCCATGTTTCAGAAGGCTGATTTATTATTTTATTATATATATTATATTAAAATTATACTAAAAGAATAGAAGAAAGGATTTCATCAGAAGGCTAGCTAAGAATAGAAAAAGAAAGAATCCTAACAAAGGCTTGTGGCTCGGACAGAAAGTCTGAGCCGGCTGACTGTGATTGGCCATTAATTAGAAACAACCACATGAGACCAATCACAGATCCATCTGTTGCATTCCACAGCAGCAGATAACCATTGTTTACATTTTGTTCCTGAGACCTCTCAGCCTCTCAGGAGAAAAATCCTAAGGAAAGGATTTTTCAGAAAATATGTCTGTGACAAACAAGCAACAAAACAAACCAAAAAAACCAAAACAAACAAAAAAACCCCAACCCTACAAGAAAAAAAATGCTTTGATGTGTTTTGGGGAGTCGAGAGAATTAATCTCTTTGTTGCTGGTAGAGAGATTCTTAAGGATGGTTGAATATGTACAAAATCAGCCCAGTAAAAAGTATCAAGTGTGAGGCTTGATATTACGCTCTCGGCATGTCACCATGCACGTAGTTCCATTGGTTTTGCTAAACTGCTCCTAAACATAAGTGGAGTTTGGTGTTTAACTGTGATGAGTTGTGCACGGATGTAGGTACACTCACAGAACAGATTACGGAATAGGGCGGGGTTGGGAGAAGGCCACTCTGGCTCTTAAATTGCAATGTTAAGATAAGAAATTGCATCATCTTACTAAATTCCCGTGTCGTTCTGGTGAAATCACGATTTTCGCTCGTCCTTTTCTAGTCAGTTTGGTTTCTCAGGATTCAGTGCCCTCTGGTGGTGATGGCTTTTTCTCCTGTGACAATAGGGATGCTAGCACCTAATGCTTCATTTTGGTTTTTTATCTGTTGTCTGTTGATTATCCCAACCTGATAGCTAGTTTGAATAAAGTCAAATACAGTATTTTTTAACACAGAGGATTATAGAGTGAGTCACTGACATGTAAAATTTAGAGCATTGAAAGGATGCAGGGAGCTCAGTAGCTCTAGCAAAAATATTAACAAAATCAGTTTAGTTCAGTGTGCATTAATACCTTAGACAGTAAAGCAGAACTGAATGATAAAGATTCCATAAAAGTAAAAGAGAATGAAAAACTTATAGTTACATAAGAGATACACACAAAATTCTGTCGTCACAAGTAAATTTTTTAACCACAATTTCTTGTACGCAGCTTTTAATGACTTATAAATCTCTCATAAATGCCCGTTTTAATCTGTCCTTGATTACACATTTTATTACAAAGTGTATTAAATTATATAAAGAGATCAGCTTTTTGGTAAAAAATTCTTGAAAAAGGTAAACCCCTCAGTAGGCATTTTAGTAAGTTACTTTTTGCAATATTCAAGCACAACTTAGGTAGCTGGCAGGCTGGTGATAATAACAGAAATAATTATACAAGTGATTGTCTATTCATAAGGACAGTACTGAGTGATCCTGTTCTTCTCTGCTGTTTTTACCATTCTCCAGGAGGAGATGATAGCTATAGCAATAGTTAAAATATGAGCTTTAAGAACATATTTCACATTGCTGTTATAAATGACTGTCAAATTCTGTATGTTTGATACAGACTATGTTTGGTCTTCAAAACTTCCATTTATTGCAGTGCACATATATAGCACTCCTATGAACAACATAAAAGAAGGAAGCATCCTTTCCATGTTGGCTCCTTGGATATCAAATTATCAAGCTACGTATGTCTTTTCAGCTCACTTTCTTGAGTA